CATGTGCACGTCCCCCAATTTCCCAGAGCACACCTGCTACTTTATTGCGGCTGCTGTCACTGCAGAAAATGAAACTGGTGGCTGCAGTTTCGCTTTTCTTCCCACTTGAATCAGGTGTAGGTCACTGGGACCGCTGGGAATTATGAAAGTGAAAAAAAAACACATTCAAGATTCTCTCACAAACGCGTTGCAGGTTTGTGTGTGTTTTTTTAACAACATCAGCAGTGTGCCTTTTAATTGCAGCGCAGAAAGGAGGAGCCTGGGGTGTTTGTGGCTTCAACGGCCACAGATTTAACAAACACACTATAAATACACACAGGCCATCTGGGTACTTGCAGGGTACATATAACTCGCTGGCAACTGCTGCTGGTCTGTGTATGCCTATCAACATCAGAATATTATTCATTTTTTACCATATTACAGTCTGCAATGAGACCACGCATGAGCAAGTAGGGGCCTAATTTGGTTACACAACAACTTTTTATGATCCGTCGAGTAGCCAGACAAGTCATTGCATCACTTGTTTGACCATACAATATCAAAGTAGCGTGTTATTTTAGCGCGTCATCTTTCTTTCTCACATTCATGTTGATTTTGTGCTCAGATGGAGGACTTTTTTAATGGATTAATTCAAGTTGCATTTAATGAAATCAATCAAAACAATCAGATAACCTGGGTTAAGTTATTAATAGTTTAGTTAGTAGTTCTGAGGATGCCGTCTGTCGTGTGTTATATTTACTGTCCATGATGGAAACACGGAGACAAGCGGTGCGACAAACATTAAACAAACAGGGTCATCCAGCCACAGCTCCAGACAAACCGAGTGCTGCATGAAATGTAAATTACTTAGTGACTTAGAGTGCATGGGTTAGTGTTTTGGTACTTCTGAATCCTTCATCTCAAAGTCAGTTTTAATCTGTTTTTTCATTCGATGGACTTAACACAGGCTTAAATTATGTTTACATCAGTAAATGTTCCACATTTTTGCATCCACATTGCTAACAAGTAGCAAATATAAAGTTTTGTCGAGGAAATAATACGAGATGGAAGTGTAGTGGTGGTGATGTTGAGTGATTTAACCGGCGTGTAGAGTGGACTGTGTTTATTGCCCAATATTAGCTTTTATTTCTGGTAAATTATATTAAAGCTTCAAAGATCATAAAGGTGGAGCTAATTTATGAATAATTCTCTTGCCGAGGCAAATATGAAAATTTCACAAACGTTTATTTTCCGCATGAAGGTACCAGTGTGATTCTAGCTTCTGGGTCAAATCTTCCATAAGTACTCTGATTGTTGCTGACTTTATCCAGTTAGCTGTGGTGACGTGATTTACGTTTTATTCACCCAGATTTACGTCCCACAGCGTCCTCGTTGGCTGGACGATGCTGGATGGGTTGCCATCCTCTGTTGCCTTTTGGAAACGTCGCACAATGTAGAGGCCTCTTGCATCATTCCAGACTCTAAGAACATATATATGAAAATGTTACATTCATTTCTTTAACAATTAAATTCAAAAATGAAGGCATTCACTTTCTTATTTCACAAATGTTGCTTTTTAACGGTGGTTTTCCATTTCTTACCAAAGTGATCAGGAAATCTTGTGTGAGGTCACAAATGGAAAACAGAGGTATCATCCAAGTTGTTTCTTTGATGTGAAACACAGATGTCACCTGTGATGGAAGGGAGGTTTGAGAGGAAGAGGAAGAGGAGGGACTGTGTTGGGGTGAGGCTGGTGAAGGGCGCCGCGCGAGAGAGAATGATGAAAGGACCCTTCGAAGGACAGATGGGAATGAGATTCCCGAATCAATACCATCCAAGGGCGTTTTATTATTAACGCATACAGCGAGGAGCCCACGTTCAATACTCCTCACCTCACTGCTCAGGACGCCTCACACATACACACAAATGCACGCGCGCACACATTCCGCCTCCTCGCCTGTGCTTTGATCTCCCTCCGGCCACACTGTGTGACATTTTATGTGACAGTGGGAACGACCATTGTCCTTAAAACCTTTCGCCCACGATGGGAAACTGCAAAGCACCGCAGAGCGCAAGAGGCCCTAAAGACCTGCCGGTTTCCTGTGACCGCTTTGTACTAGACAACATTTTGTTTTCTTTTCTTAAGATAACAGTGGATCAGCTCAACTATTGTTATTAGCAATTGCTTTTTAACACTGGACAGTATTATTGGTTGGTTTTTACCCGTTTTGTTTGGTCGTTTATCTATTTTACTTTGAGTTTCCCGGGACGTGAGACACAAGCCTCTAAACTCAGTGCCGAATGTGCACAATGGTTTTTCTCTCAAGTCGGTTTGTTTTGCCATTATCTATTCGTTATTCTGACAGTAAACCAAACAGAAGCTGCGAAAATGAAAATAGGTCTTATGTATGGAGTAATAATGTAAATGGATTTCTCCCTCCCTCTCCCTCCCGCCCTCTCCCTCCCTCTCTCTCCCTTTGTCTGCACAACTCTGGGAGCCTGTGGCCATTTATCTGCCAGTGTCTAATTATTCATTAGTGAACTCAGCGAAAGGAGGAATGGAAAACACAGTTTTACATTCACCGCAGATCAGCATTCCTCGGCGAAAGTGACTCTCTCGCCTCCTTCTTTGCGTCTTCGTCCCGCAGGGCTCGCCGGTCTAAACATCGGTGGCTGTGATGAGGTTGCTCACAGACTCTGTGACTCACATCTCTTAATGTGATGGCTCAGACACTCAGAAGGCCACAAACGCTGTGTTTACCTCCAGGTGCTGCCGTTGTTGTGACCGGCACAGTGAATGCAACCCAGCAAATGGACACAGGTACTGTTGAATTGGGTTAATTGGGCAACAACGAGGCTGATCCTGTTCTGGTTTTCGGCTTCAGGCAACACTCTCTCTGTCCAGCAGAGGACACTGTGTGATCTGGAGCATGCAATTCAAAATAGCACCCGGTGTGTGTAATGTATGTTTATACACATATAAAAAGATGGTCCTGTTTATCAAACCTTTGTTAATAAATGTAACTGAGGCTCACATGAAATCAGTGGTTGCGTTTGAAACAAAACGCATATTCTGTACAGATTGTGACTCCAAGTGGGAATAAAGATTTGTTTTAAGACTTATTAAAAAAAGGCAATCACCCATTGAACATGCAGCTGTTTACTGATTCATGCAGATGTCTGTTTTGTACAATACTGTATTTCATAGCAGCGCTACATGCCATTTACTGTACGAGACTGTCATCTAGTGGTCCTGTCTGTGTCACACATGACATCAGTATGGAGTATCGTCTGCATATGCAGTCTGCACACTGGCATCATCTTTGTTCATTTGATTTGAAATGGCCGTGACAATTTCGGACCGAACTGTGTATTCAAATGTTTCTCTTCGGCCATTTGCACTCATCTAGGATGTGGAACTGTATTTAGTGCTTCTATGCACCCATGATATGTCCCATGTGACACATTTTGATAAGACATACAGTTTACGGGATGTAAGATTTAAGATTGTTTCACTCTAATATCTGAAAAGACTCAGGTGTGTTTGACTGGCCCCATTTGAGATGAATTTTATCAAAATTAGTGCAATTTAATCCTATTTCATGAATGTTCGTAGATTGAGTCATGTCCACACATATGTATTGGATGGAAATCCTGCACACAAAGAAATTGAGTTCTTCCAATATCTTTTTGAGTGCAAGGTGCATGAATGTACATTCACGAAAGAGCTCCGTGTTTAAGCCTATTGACAGGATGTAAGTAGTATTAACCAATAACACTGATTGAATCTGTATGTTTGCGTGGCAGCTACATAGGACACTTCGAATTTGTTGTTTGGTTTATTGTGTGCCGTCCTGCAGGTTTATGTTTTAGAATTAGAACCGTTTATTTCTACGTCTGCCGCACATACATGGATTTTATTTCTTGTCACCTCTACTGATTTAGTTTAGGAACACGCACTTTCTGCTCACTTTCTGCTCACTTTTTGCAGGGATTGCTGCTGTCATCGATCAACCAATCAGCTTCACCGGTGGCAAACGGCTCGGTAGTGACGTGGGTTTCCCTGCAGGTGGCGCCACTGCTCTTTGGAAAAGAGCTTTCTGTGAAGGAGGTGAACGTGGTGTCGTCATTGAACAAGTAGAACCAGCGGCAAAAATGTGACGTCCAGTCGGACATCGTTATTGACTAAAAATAATATCAAGACGTTTTATTCGAGGGAAGATCCATAGTGGACTATTGGTGTCAGCAAAACGTGTCGGTTCTTCCCTACTATGAAAACCATGTATTGTATGTCCAAAGATTTGCTTATGCTACGCAATCTTTAAGATGTGGCTTTGTGGAAATAAATAAAGCATTACTTCCGAACAAAAAACTGCTTAATAATGAATTCATTCCAATTGCCTACTTTAATTAATGAACTCTACACTTATTGGAAGGGATTTCCACTGAACTATTGAATTTGACATGTACAATCAACCACTTTATTATGAGGGGTGTATCGGATCTAATCATGAAAACGTCATCCAATGACTGGATATGTCTTCTTTTTTTTGAGAGCCCACAAACCAATAAGGCCCTTGGAGCTGTCCGTGATGAAAAATAAATATTACAAAATAAAAATATTTCCCACACGGTTCTTGTCAACGTCCATTTAGAAAGAAATCTATTCTGCGATGAACAACCCATTTTAAAAAATGTGGTGCGAAAAGAACTTTATTTAAAAAAATGTGAAATATTTTTTACTTGGGTTCAAGTCTTGTGTTTCTAAAACTTATAAATATATAAAGTTTTGTCTGTCTACTTATCTTGAGTTTCTGCAGATTGTTTGTATTGTGTTTAATAAGAACAGACAATACTTCAGTCAATAAGAAAAATATATGTGTAATTTTAATGACCAGACGCCAAAACACCTGACACATCTGGGAGGTTTTTAGTTTGTGAATTGTTATTGATGCTCAGTTCACAAATGAACATGTGTAACACGTGGATCATCGCAACACAAAATGAGGATACTTTTCCCCTTTCTTTAAAATAACATTTATTTCCATCATATTCATACAATGTGACAGCACAGCTTGTAACATTTGAAGATGAACTGACCTGATCCAGCACTTTGTCACAAAATATAGGAGCCGACTAAAGGATAAATGAAAAGTCAAACATAGCAGAGCGTTTCATATTACCAAATGCAATATATAATACAGGCAGTTGGAAATAAACTAAAGAAATATGTTGAGATAAGGTAAATAATATAAAGAAAAAGGGGATGACATTTACACATTAGTTCAACTTGTACATCAGGAAATTGGGTTAATATCTGTATAATCTACATAATCATACGTTATAATAATTTAATTTTGCCTTTTCTATTATTATTTATGAGTGTGAGAGGAATGTTTATTATTAATTTAATGTGCACTTAATATTTGCCGACCAGCTGAAAAGAAAATGATAAAACATGTCTTTGCTTTTTCCCTTTTTTATATCTTGGTGCAGAATTGCAACAGAAGTCAGTAATAAAAGCAATATATATTCATAGCATTTTTTCTGTGACTGGGTTTACTTTTTATTTATTTTTTAGGATTTTTTAATTCCCCATGTTCATTGTGATTTATTTTGGCGTGTATAAATATCTTTTCAGCTTCCGGTTATTTTATTGATCAGGTTCACAAATGTCATCCGGACTTTACAGTCAAACATATAAAAAGCATGTTTTTTTTTTAAATTACACATAAGTGAGTTTAGTTGTGAGTTTTTTTTTATTCATGTATTTTTATTTTACCTCCCGGACCTTTTAACTACAAGCCAGCAAATCCTATTATTTACAGCAGCCTGCAGCCAAATCACATCACAGATTTTCGCCAAAACATTCAACACTTGTGGCTACAAATAAAATGCAACGTGTCCGTCCGGTCAACCCAGCGGCCTCACGGTTCCTCCGGCGTGTTGTTGACCAAAGGCCCCTACAGGCCGCTGGCATAGCCCTGCTCCTTGTGTAACATTGTCCTGTCCCTTATCAGGGTCGCTGAAGGCGTAGTCCATCGGGGGCCTGAAGCCCAGCGTGGGCATCAACCCGCTGGTGGAGTAAGGCGTCATGAAGGCCAGTCCCCGGCTGTGCGCGGAGTACGCCAGCCGCAGCGGGTTCAATCCCAGGTGGGTGCCCAGGGAGTAGGCGCCGGGGTCGGCGGTGAAGTGCGGGGAGTTCGGCTGCAGGGGGGAGAACGCGGAGCGGTTGCTGAGCGTCATGGCTCCGGGCAACATGGGCCTCGTCGGCGTGGTCGTGGACGCGGAGGACGGAGGAAGCTGCTGCGCGCTTTGGAGCACCCGCTCGGCCGTCCATGTCTCGTCCGCCCCGGCCTTGTTGGAGCCCTGCGCGCCGCCGCCGCCGCCGCTGTTGTTGAGGATCTGCTCGATGGCCTGCACCACGTCCTTACCGCAGCCCTGCAGGACGAGCTCCAGGACGCTGCGCTTGTGGCTCGGGAACACTCGGGTCAGGATGTCGATGGCGTTCATGTGGCGGGAGGCCGCGGAGGACGGGGACGGCTCCTGCTCGTCCTTGTCGGTCTCGGAGCCGGAATCGGAGCCGAGGGAGCTGACGGAACGGGGAGTTTCCCCTCCGTCTTTCAGAGGCTTGGAGACCGGCGAGCTTATGAAAGACTCGCTGTCTCCGTTCTCGGAACCCGAGCCTCCGTGTCGGCCGTCCGGGGAAGAGATGCCCGGGGCCGAGTCGCTCTCGGTGGACGCCGGTTTCCCGGAGTTCTGCTGAGATGCGGCGGATCCGGAGAGCTGACTCTTCGGAAACAGCTCGTATTTCTGGACACTTGAATCTGTTGACACAATCAACATCACAGACTGTAAGATTGGGATGGGGGGGGGGGGGCAGGTTGGGGGGAGCAACATGTGCCAACATATGGATGTATGTGGATATGGATGTAAACTTGAGTGACAGTAAATGAATCATGAATCATGTCTGTTTAACGTTTGGCTTCAGTACAAAAATCATCGATTATGCGCATTTAACAGCCTATAATGCCAAACAACAGACAGCATCTTTGTATCAGGTGCATATTGCAAGCTCAACCGAATAGACTGCAGCAATTAGATACAAATACACAGAACAATGAGCCCTTTATGATCATTTCCACGTCTCTTATTCTCCCATTTATTCAGACTCGGTCAGAATGGAAAATAATAATAACAATAGCGTCTATCGCTCATTCTTGCGCTCACCTGAGTTGCTCTCGCTGTTGACGCAGGTGAACACCTCGTAGTTGGGACGCGGCGGGATGATGCCGTTGGCGGCGGCCAGGGCGAGTCCCTCCGCGGTGCCGTAGAGGAGCTGCAGCTCCCGCGCCTCGTTCTCCTCCTGCGCCTGCTGCCGCCGCAGCGCCACCTGCGCCGCCATCACCCGCTGCCTCTCGGCGATCAGCGTGCACTTGGCGCACATACAGTCCTTCCAGCGGCAGTAGCGCTTGTGGCCCTTCAGCGCGGACACCACGCCGTGGTTCCTGCAGCGGGCACACTTCGGGGTGCGCGGGTACTTGTCGGAGGCGCGCAGGATGAGCGGCGGGCCGCGCAGGAGGGTGCCGGCCATGGACACCGGGATGGAGGCGCCCGCCGCACTGTGGACTTGAGAGGCGGAGGAGACCGCGGGGTGCTCCTGTCTCAGATCCATGCCCTGGTTCCTCGTTGGTGTAAACTGAACGAATGAAAGGAGAAATGGCCTCTCTTCAGAACGATCTGCTTTAGTTATACTAGTAGTGAGCCGATCGGATCTGCTCAGCCGTTCATCTCTGGGCAAATGGTGAAGTCAACGATGTAAGGAGGACAAAACATGCAAAACAAGGAGGAAAAAAAGCAACGCTCGACGGTTTAATGTAAACTGTTTAAATGAGTCTGCAGGAGCGAAAGCACTCAGATACAGTGGAGTTTAAATCCGAGAAGAGCAGCAGCCGAGAGGAGCGACCATTCCTCCCCGATAGAAAGTTTAAAGTGTCCAGGAGGAGAACGAGGTTGCTACTCACCGCAGCCTGAGACACTAACTTCCTCCAGAGATCGACAGTGGATACAGATCCCTCTCACCCCCCCTCTCGATTGTTGCTCCTACGTTTTCATTAGACAAATTTGACAACAATGTGGCGTCTGTCATTGGCCAAAGGAGGAAGGAGCCATCTGATTGGCTTGCCTCTTTTTTTTTTTCAACTGTGTCCACCTGAGTTCTTATTCCAAATATCAAGTGTTAAGAATCTGAAGGAAGTTCCGGGAAAGCTAAAAATCGATGCGGTGTATATCCCCCCAAAAAAGATTTTAATAGATTCAAAACAATTGCCCCTGTTTTTGCATGTATGCAGCTTTATTAGAAGGCCACGTGCTGCCAAACAGGGCACTGCAAAAATAAATAATAGCTTTAAAATTATGGGAAATGCTCAACCTTTACAACAACCTTCCATATATTTCTCAAGAAATGTTTAATATCATTTGACGATATTATTGGATGAGAAATCTCTCGTTTTATTACAATTTCCACAGACAGGAATGATATACCTCAAAGTAAAGATGATGCGTAAATGTCTCTCGCGACTCTCATCGTGGGTAAGTATTATTTGTTTTATTGATTCAAAAGGAGGAACAATTTGATCAGTCAGAAAAAGTCTATATTTGAGGAGCGTTATTGACTGCAGACGGTGAAGCAATCGGTTGACTTGCACGGTTCTGGGCTAAAGGAAAACGGAGTATTTAAAACTGTCCAAATTATTCTCGTGGTTGCTATGACAATTGTAACGAACAAATACTTTATATAACCTTGTTTTGTGAAGAGTATTCATGAGAAAAAAAGCTTCGATTAAAATGTTATTTTTGGATGCAGCCATGGGGATTTTTTAAAATGTGGACATATTGTTTGGTTAGCCTCATCAAAATGTCTTTGTATGGAGCCTAGTTAATGTGTTCCAAATAACTTGACATTGTCTCAAAGGAAACTAATTCCTAATCACGATTTTTTGGGCTTTGATAGATCGTCAACAAGGAAAAAAATGTTTTGTCAAATATTGTTGATATCCAGTCTGCTGCGGCCCGTGTCCCAAATCAGAGCGCGTGCTAAATGAACGTTGACTCCGCCTTTGCGCATAATTACGATTACTATTATTTAAAAAAACAAAAATCATTATTTCATTCATTCATTTACACGCGGATTACTCGAAATAACAGTTTGATTTTTTTTTTAGATTTTAGCCGATACTGTATGTTTATAGATCAACTTATTTTGATATTTAATCAACAAATAATATATTATTATGATAATAATGCTTTGATAATATTGTTATTTTTTATTAGTAGTATAGTGTTATTATTCATATTATTCTTACATGTATTCACAACAAAAATACCCATATTACTCTACTCTGACATAATAAAAACATTTTTTACTCCTCTTTATTATTATAAAAATAATTGGAATTGGAGATTATTTCCGTCGGTCTTTACAAAACTCTGCGGCATTAGCGTGTTTCACTGCGAAGTGTGTCGTCCTCACATCGCTTCCCCATTAAGTAACGATAATACTGTAATGCTCGGGGAGATTTAAGAAGTCACCGACGCGCGCAGCTACAAAAGGGCAACTCGCGCAAACCACCTGCTTCCTCACCTGTTCACTCAGGATAATTAGTATGCATGCGGGCATCTGATTTTTGCCCCCCCCCCCCCCCTTTTCTATATCAACAATTGTCAGTCCCTCTGAGGAGGATATCATCCCTTTGAACAACTTTTAAAATCTCTCTCCATCCCTCCCTCTCTTTCTCTCTCTCCCTCTTCCATCGGGTTCCCTCGCCGCTGTCATCTGCACCTTAATTACACAGCCAACAGGCTAATAGAGATGATATTAAAACTACATCTTTTTGACATTTAAAGTAATTATAGTCTTCTCACTCGGATGGGATGCGCTCCCAGCTAGCCGCGTGCGCATTGATAGTAGCGAACTGCAGGGGAGGCCTGGCGCTCATCGGAGAGATTACTGTTAACTGGCTCAGGACAATTACTAAGAATAAAGCGGCCTGCTCTCACATACAACAGCTATAGGTTAACGGACCTTATTGTGTAGAGAATAATGTAATGTGATGGTAATCACTGATTTAAGCCCAAACGTGCAAACTTTGCTGCTCCGGACGGTAAATCGTTCATGTTTGGCTGAGCATAACGGAAAGTTCATTTTGGGAGAAATATGCATTATGATAGGGATTATGTCCGCTTTTATTCCTCCTGGTCCAATTAAAAATGCCCCTCCCGCACAATTAAAAGTGACTGTGAGCACTTAGAAAATCCAACATTCTTTTAACCACTTCATTAGGCCTATGCATCAAAAAAAAAAAAGAAAAAGAAAAACGTGTGATGCTTTCATTTCTTTCAGGAGGGCTACAGGCGAGTGGGTTTTAACACCCTGTTAAGATCACAACAAAGGCCATGCTTGACCCAACATATGTAGCAGCATGTTTCCGCTGCCCCTGCACCCCCGGTGCGGCTTTCGAGCGGCCTCTCCCACTGCCGCTGCCCCGCCCGCTGCCCGGCTGGGCCCGGAACCCCTCCCGCGCTCTCCCGCTGCAGCGGCCGGCTCGGTCCTCTGTGTGTCCTCTGTCCCACAGAGGACACACAGAGGACAGAGGTTAGAGTAGCAGTTAGACAAGAGAGGCCGCGGAGAATAGAAAAAACGCACGTTTTTCCACAGAAGTATTTACACGCTTGAGGAGCACACGGCGGGGAAGGGTTGGGGGGGTGGGTGGGGTGGGGGGGGGGGGGGGGGGGCAA